GTCCCTAGGTGCGGTTACACCATGTGCCAGTCTGGTCCCACACTTCTGGATCTCATTTGTCCCAGTCCAACCCTCACATCCAGGTTCCACCACACCTGGAGCAACCCCACATGTTGGCATAATGTAATACACAGGGCAACATCATCCAGCCAGTGGGGCTCAGGGGTCCAGAAATTTAGCAGTAAGGGTGTGACAACAGTGCCAGCACTCTCCCACTGCCACATTTCCAGATCTCATGGGTCTAATGACACAGCTCTGTGGGCTGAATGGCCATAGTTGAGCATCACTGATTTAGTGTCTGTATACATTGTTAAGACTATTCTGCATGCTTCTTAGACCAGGGGTAGGTTGTTCAGCCTTGATGACTCTCATCCAGGTGAGTGTACTGTTAGGAAAAAGGGACGGTCAAAGCTTAATGATGCCATTCTAACTAAGGGGCAGTGGAATTCCTCCAGAAGAAAAAATAGATATTTGGTGTTTAACACTGGACCTTAAACACCAGAGAACCTGAGAAACTTTAGATTTGTGGAGACCTGGGAAATGGACGTTTTGAAGAAGCAGAGCAGCATGGATTTGTAGCAGAGGGGTCAACTCTAAATGTGGAGTCAAATGAAGAAGGAAACTAACTAGCTGTGTAGGGGAGAGAGATACTTCACAAAAGCGATTATATGATGTGGTTGTCCATGATAGAAGGGGACTGGACTTGTTGACACACTAGGTCACTGCTGTATTCCTGTGATTTAGGGAAGGAGGACTCCTTTGAAACATCTGATGTCAACTTCAAGAATGCTTAAGTGCGGGAGAAATGGAGTCAGATAAATATATGAAGGCATTTATTGTTTTGTCTAGATATTTCTGTTTTTTCTGATAGCTGAAGTGAAAAGAGATTGCGTCTTGGAACCCCCTACAAAATCCTTGTGTCTGTTTGCTTCAATTATTGCACCTCTCTGAAGTGGTGAATTGTAAACACAGTGTGCCCACAGGTTGGAGTTTTAGGTATGCTTAAATTATTGGGTTATCTTAGGGAGTCAGCACTGGCCTTGGAGGCTTAAAATAGCTTCCCCGTTAGGTACCCTTCCATAAAAGTTAGGATATTCAGTTATTGCACCAGAAAAGCTTGGGTCAATAGATTTTGAGAAGCTTGAAGTTCACAGGCCAAGTGTTGGGACCCGAATATAGCAGTGTAGTTGTATGTCCAACAGATAGAACTTTACTAGGGTTGTTTAACAATTAATATTTGCAAACACAAAGTAAATTTTGTCTGACATGCATGGCACTTAAAAAAATAAAGTTTACTGGAAAATATTTTTATTTTTAAACAAGATTTACTAAAATATACTACTCGATTGTGACCAACTGTTACAGAAAAAAATGGACCACTTTATTTACTAAGACTGTTCTCATTAAATATTTCCTCTTTTGTAATATGCTTTACCTGAATACACATCCCTGGAAGAACTTCCATTGGGAATGAGAATTAAAGATCCTGGTGCTTTTTTAAAATCTTCTAGATTTGGAGACTTGTATGTGGAAGAACAGTATGTCTTGATCTAAAAGACACATTCTGCAGCAGCTTGCTCATTTACAACTTTAGAATATTTGAAAGAAGATATGGCAGCAGAAAATTTTCAGTAAGTTACATTTATATTTTTTTCAATACAGTAATTGCTAATCACATTAAAATCTTCTGTCTCAGATTTACCATATTTACTTGAATATAAGACTATCCTGATTGTAAGATAACTTGCCCAATCATTAGATTCTGTAGATGAAAAATGTGTACATTTGCTATAATTTTCCAAGCATAGAATCTAATTCTGCACTGGAGGTTTGTTTTGGATTTGTTGACCTCCTACTGCTACAACAGGGAAAACCAATCTGGGGGTTCAGGAAGCACCTTTGCCCTCTGCACCTCCCTCCCCCCTCAAACTTCTTCCTGTGACGGGAATGTCTCAAGGTTGGTCCAATCGCTGGCCTGCCCAGCTGACTCACCTGCCATGCCTTTGATGGAACTGAATAGTTGTTCACAGGTGGGACACTGCCCATTTATTGCCCTGGTGTCAAGGGCATAATACATGGCTATGAACCTCCCTGTATACTGTGTCCCATGCCTTGCAGATAGCATCCAAACAGTTGACTCTCACTTAGCCCTTTGCAGGGCCAAACTCTGCTCCTATGCTGGGCCTCTTTCACACCCCATAACTGGGTCCCACTCACAATGCCCCTTTTTCTGTGTCCCACTCATTCTTGCCCCACCATGTGCCACGCACTCTGCCCTACCTCTGTATGGCCCTTCAGGCCTCTTCAGACCTACTTCACACAGCGCTTCAGGCGTCCTCTCTCTTGCGCTTGATTCTGGTCCCTCATAGACCTTCAGACCACCAAATTCAGGCCCTACTGTACAATAGGGCGTTAGGCCTACTGTCCCACACTCTGGGCTGACTCTGTCCCCTGGCCTTTTCTGGCCTCAGGCAGCCCAAACTCAGCCTATGGCCCACCCAGATGTCTGTTGACATGCCTGTACCCCAAACCTGCCCCCTCAACAGCGTAACCCCCCAGGTTGTGGGGGCTGAGGCTTTCTGGTGCACCATCCTTGCATTTCACTGGAAGGGCACAGGTGTGGCATTTCCTGGGGGCTGACCCACCAGACCTTCAAACCCCAGCAGGCTGTAGGTTTCAGGTCTCACCCAGGACTAGGAACCTCTTCCTTCCCCATAGTTCCTACCCTACCTGCAGCTCCAGATGTTTTGGGAACTGCAGGCTGAATCATATTGCTCCTCTGACTCCCTAGGTGTAACTGCCAGCTCTGCTCCTAGGGCTTGGGTTTATACTAAGGTGGCCCAGCCCTCCTCCAATCCACTGGCCCCCTTCTGTCATGTGACCATATAATTGGGCCAGACTACTCCTGCTGGCTACTCAGAGCCTGCCTGAAACCCCGTAAAGTGGCAGACACAACCTGTGCTCTGCCACATTTCTCTCTGCAGGCTCATCCCTCCTCCTTACTATCACAGGCCCTGCTCTCCCTGAGCACACGGAAGTGAGGAACAAATTTGAAAAAAACTTAACCTTGAATAAACATAGCAATTTGCATATAGTACCCATAGACTTAGTTCACCCAGAAATTATGCATTTTACCTTTTTTGAAACTGCTGCAAGTTTTAGCACAGGTATTCCATAAACACACTTGTAAGGAGCAGTTTAGCATCTACTTACATAGAGAACAAACTATGTATAATATTAGTCCAAAGCCAAAAGACTCATGATTTACCATGTACTTCATTGATTAGGTCCCATCAGAGTCAACAGCATTTCAAGCCATGGTGACCCCACAGCTCAGCACTGCGCTGCAAGTGTCTGTACTTTAGATACCTCCCACAAAGGGCCCATGTGCTGATTAGCTCCCCACTCATAACTGGAACTGGGTGTTCCTGTCATGAGTCCTGGGGCCCTCCAAAAATGTGTCTGCGGATGAGGTGCAGGGCAGTCTGGTCTGACTTCACCTCATGGAGGATGGGGCCCCACTGATTATATGTGCCAGACTGAGTGAGGGGCAAAAGGGATTCTGAGTGAACTGCTTGGGGCCCTGTTTTGTAATGTTTGTCAGATGTTTAAGGCTGGTGAAGAAACAGCAATAACTGGAAATGGGGAGAAAAAACCCGCAGCTAAGCTGTGCATGTAAAGAGGAAGTTGAGATGTAAAGAGTTGGTGCTGAAGGGGACTGTGCTCAGTGTCTTACCATATGTCATATTCAGATGGGTTACACTAACCTATCTTTGTGGTAGGTTCCCATCAGTATGTTTGCCCCATATGGGCTGTGTACTTCACAGTCATGCTCAGTGTCGGCTGGATTTAATCAACTTCATAGTTGGTTTCCACTACTGAGCACATGCTGCATTTAGCAGCAGTTCAAAGGTAGATGGTGTATTTAATGCCGTTTCCTTGTATACAAATGTAAGATGAGGAGTTTCCCCACAGTGTTGATGAGGGGGAACTTATCTTTTTATATTTGAGTTGATGGGAGGGGGTGGGGAACCTTGTCTTTATATTTGAGTAAATATGGTATTGCAGTTTTTATTGCTGCATTCTCTGCTGAAAAATGCTTTTTACAATTGCATGCTTGTTTTTAAAAATAGTGTTAATGTTAAGATATATTCTTAATTGGAGATTTATTTACGTGAATCAGATTTAAAATTCCTGTTTAGCATTGTAAGACCAAGGCTAGGGTTGGGAATTTGACTGGTCAAATAAAATCTGGTCAATTGACTGGTCAGCTATCAGTCAAAATTTGTAAAAAACAGACAAGCAACAACCCCACCCCCCAATCCACAAATTTTTCATTAAGATATGTGTTAAAAAACAATACAAATCATATTTCTATCAAGAAAATTACAAAAAGATGTAGTGTTGGGGTTTTTTTTTTTGTAAAATTGCTGTAAACTTTGGTTAAAAATATGCAGTCAATTGTCCAGTTAATTGACTGGCTTACCAGCCCTACTCACCTACTCAAGACCATTTAAATTTTTTATTTAATAAACAATGGTTCTGTCAACACATTTTAGTGGGCCAATGGAATTGAATTTTATCTACCAATCTAATTCTTTTTCATTGCTTAATATCAAAAGTCTAGTCTGTTACTAATGTATATTTGTCTTTAATTGAAGACCTGAAATGGACTTTTTGGCATATTTAGATATGAGATCCATATGTTTAATGGAAATAACACCATGAATACTGTTGAACTAAATCTAATTATGTAAGCCGATCTGTGTTTGGGACCTATTTTATTTTTTTCTTTTTCAGTCCTTTTTACTGGGCTCCTGGATGCTTTCAGCTTTGTTTGATCTTCTTCTTGTAGAAGTGGTGCAGTATGTCTTTGGCATCACTATCAGCAGCTTGCCCTCTGGATTGTAAGTAGCTCTTAATGGGCTTGTTTATTTCTAATCATTTTAAATTTGTTTTCAAGAGATTAAGTATTACAGATTTAAGGAATGACTTCCTAATTAAACCTTTCAAATGCAGTTAATTCTTTTTAAAGTGCAATGTAAATGTTCTTGGACCAAACTCTATTTTTATAACAATTATTTTCTAAATATGATGGTACTACTTATGTATAGTAGTACTTTCAATATTACTTTTCCATGGTTACTTTCAATTCTGCCACACATTTTTGAAAGGAGTTGCACTGCAATATATAGCTTAATATAGGCATCTTTTCTACCCAGTACAGTATTCCCTCATGATTTTATTAATTTTGCACACTTTTTTCGGTAGCAAAGTTAGTGTTAAAATCCCACAACTAACATTACTGTAGTCCATTTTACAGGACTCACTCTGTTCCCCAGATGCACCGCTCATGGAGTAGGGGGAAGGGGGAGAATCTTGTGCCCCATAAGAGTTGCCATCTGAGGATTGTGCCCTGCTCACCCTGCCCCAGTCACGGTGACTAGGGCATATGGAAGTTAACATAATAAAAAAGCATGTGTTAGACATTCTAAACTAGCTGTTAAGTGTGTTGGTGCATATCAGTCTTCACAGGGATTGGAGATTAATATATGAAGTTCACTGCTTTGAAAGGTATTGGTGAGACACTATGTATATAAATTAACATATTTAATTCATTTTAATTATTCTGATTATACACCTTATTCTGATAAACAGATTGTAAGTGTAAGGTTGGGAGTATAGCAGAGGCTAGGGGTAAGGTATACTATACCATGCTAAAATAATGGACATTTTAAATTATATCTCTTTTATACTGCTTACTATCTTTTTATTTGATTATAGAATGTCATTAATTTTAGGGTGTTAAAGTGCTGTTGAATCAAAGAGATTTTGGGTAAAGAAATAAATGTCAGGTTTCTTTTTCTATGTGCATGATTTTGTTTCAGAAAAAGCTGAACTTATTCTTGCTTTTTGTTCAATTAGACATGTAAATACAACAAAACCCCACACCTGTTCAAGTAGGCTAGCCAGTGGTTATAGCAAAATACTGCAGATCTGCCTGCTTTATTTAGCATAGGTATTGTCCCCTTTTTCACAGCTTGACATATGTATTTAATTGACAACGTATTTGTGTGTCTTCTTCACTCAGAAGATAGATTTTTCAATATCCAGGTTCATCTCAGATTTACATATTCCTTTAGAACAGGTAGATGCAATATTCACGTTTTCACTATATGGTATACTGCTTGTTTAACAGTTACATTATAGCATATATAAAAAGTCACATTATTGCTGACCATAGAACATTTTCCAGTGTGGCTTGAAAAATGGCCCTTAGTAAGCATCACTGTGTTGCATTACAAATGTGTCTTGCGTATTATATCATCTCGCTGTTTATATTATTTAGTGATCGTAAACTCCCAGATCGAAAACTCTTCCTACGTACGCTTCGCAGATAATTGCGATAAAGCATAACGCTGATGACTCTAGCCTGAAATTGTTTAGAAACAATATAGTACAGAATAATGTCTAGGCAGGTACTGAGGTTCATGAGGAAGGTGGTAAATGCTGCCCATGGATTGTAGCTCTTGTTTTCATCTTGCAACATCAGGAATGCAAAACAAATGTGGAAGGGTACAAAGCAGACAAGCACTTGCACAATCAAAGTAACTATAATTCTTATAGATCTCTCCTTGGCCTTGGGTTTCAGTTTAGAAGTCCTGCCATGGATGAAGTTGTAAATAATAACAAGGTAGCATCCAATCATGATGAACAGGGGAATCAAGAAAAAGAAAATCAAGCGAGAATAGTTTAACATATTGACTTCTTTTAGGTGAATAATGTCAAGCATCTTTATGCAGGTGGTAAAATTTGAGGCTTTATCTGGATCTGAATTTAAAAACAACAGAGGGGAAGTTGATGCAAGGGTCATTATCCAGATGCCAATGCAGGCTATCAAAGCTTTGCTTGTATTTTTAAGTTCTTTCACATGTTTTGGCTGGACAATAGCCATAAATCTATCTACGCTTATAAAAGCAAGCAACCACAGAGCAATGCTTGGATAAAACACAGTGAAAGCACTGACAATCCGACAAAACAGATCTCCAAAAGGCCAAATTCCTTTCCCATAGTAGGTTATCCGGAAGGGCAAGGATAATATAAAAATTAAGTCGAGGAAAGCAACGTTCATCATGTAGACAGTTATAGTTGTTCTTTTTTTGGTAGTGCAGCTGAAAACCCATAGTGCTGTGATATTTACTAGTAATCCAATGGTGAATACAAAGATATAGAAGACCAGGGATGCAATCCGGTATTCTTCGGGGTGTTGACTTCCTGGCATAATGTTTTGGTTGTATCCATTCATTGTCTTTTTTTCCTCGTACACTTTTCCTAAAAGCAAATAAAATGAAGTATGAAAAGTGAAATTGCCATCAAAGGGACTTAAAGCTTCACATAGAAACCTTTTTTTTTTTTTTGTAAAGTAATTGTGGTTAAGGAATAAGAACCTCATATGGTGGAGGAATAATGACCTACACTGTGCTACCGACTTTTATCTATTAATGGCAGCCTCTGTCCCAAGAAGATTACATATATCAGACTTCTGGATGGAATGATGTGATATTTAATAATTCAAAAAATAATCATTTCTGTTAAAGAAGTGTAACTAATATATAGTGTGTAAAAGGAAGAAGAAAAATATGTATCTAAAAATGATATCTTGGGTTCAAAATACAGTATTCATTTCCCAGGCTTTAAAATGCACTGGACATATATGAAAGAGAGGATTAATCTTAGAGCTATGTTGTTTAAAGAAAATTGGGATGAGGAATGAACCATGAGCAGAACCTCAAAGTGATGACTTTCTGAGCAGTTTAGCTGCTGGGAAAAGTGGGTATGCTGAGACTGCTAGCAACATGCTGTCCCAAAATGAGGTGCTTGCTGTCTCTCTCATGTCAGTCTCTTGGTGATAAGTGCATGGAATTGGAAGTGTCAGTGCACTTGCTCATCTGCTGAAAGGAAAAAGGAGGTGTCCTTCTTTCTTTTGTCTACTTAGAGACTGCTAGCAGGGAAGAATAAATCTATTGTAGTCTTTTCTTAGGCCTTGGGCAGACATACCACTAAAATATGGAGTGCTTCAACGATGGAGAGACATGCAGCCCCTCAATGGACCTGGGAGGCCCTACCACCTGCCTCCCCACTTCTGGAACTGGAAGACTAGAGGCAAAGAGGCGTTTAGGCATCCTTGCTGTCTGCCCTGTGGGTGGCTGAGGGCACAGGAAAGTGCTCATTGGCTGGCTGTCCTGTTCTGCCTCCCACCACGGAGGGGAGGGAAGAGTGGAGCACCATAAGATGCTGGAAGCCTGAGCAAACCCCTGCCATACTTTGTAATGTGTGCAGATGTAATTGGAAAAGGTTCAAAATGAGGCACTGCAAAGTAGTTCATCCAGGGTTTGTCTGGGTTTTTTTATAAGTGCTTTGGCCATTTTCAAAGCACTTCCTAGTGCACATATGTCTATCTGCTTGCATTTTGAAGTGGTTCAAATGTTATGTCTGTCCAGGACCTTAGTCTTCTACTGATTTTGCAGATGGCATGGTCCACTTCGCTTGACCCTTGACTTAGCCTCCCAACACTTCTTCAAAGGGAGTTTCACTTCTTCTGTATTCCTCTCTCCGTCCTCCCTTTTTCCCTTCTATTTTTTCATTTTGGAGGGGATTGAAATCTCCTTGACAGAAGTTAATACCTGATGCTGCTAACAGTTTTCCTAACAGCAGGAGAATGCAATTTCTGTAAGGTTATCAGTAGTCTGTTTGTTTTAGTCTTGGAAATGAAAGATGCATTTTAATAGCAGCATATCTCACTCTTATGATGTACTTTTTGTATATTATACATCAATGCATTGTTTAGCATGCATATAATTTAAGAACATAAAAGTTTCCCTCGAAGATCACAGCAGTGGTCTATGTAGACCATTGTCCTTGTCTGACAACACCCAGTACCAGATGTTTTCAAGGAGGGTACTCCCATCCTGAACAGTTACGATGTAACATACCTACATAGGAAATGTCTTCCAAAGTCCTTTAAGTTAATGATTATGTTTTGCCTTGGAAATATGAAGTTTTATTGATTAGTTTTATTTTTGGTTCTCTATATTAAAACTGTAAAATATCTTGTAATTAGTATTATATATGTAATTATATATTAATGCCTAAGGCTGACCTTGGTCTCAGTGATGCTTTTTGTGGTAATCAAAATGTTGCTGATTGGTCTGAAGAAGATTAGGTTACTAAAGGAAAAATGTTAATGTGAGGGCCATAAAGTAAAATGGAATTCACACCTCAGATGGAAAAAATGTATAGTGTATTGACGAGGAAAGAGGTCTGGAGTGGGTTTAAGAAATGGCTTTTGAAGTAGTCATGCAATATGTGGGTAAACTAAAAATAAAACGTCAAGATACCAAAGCATAACAAAAGCCCCTGAAGAGGAATCCTGGTAATATGGTGATATTTTATCCATAAGACTGTCTAGTTTAGATCACTTTTTCATAAGAAATTCTTATTCAAATATCATTAAGACAGTTCTGTAAGTATAACGATGAAGTATTATTGGTCAAATTAAATGGTCAAAACAGTCAGAAAAATAACATTACTAAGAATACAGTCATTTTTCTACATAAAGAGAACACATTTAGGGTAGTGAGTATTCTCGTAAACTTTGTTTTTTCTTTCTCATAGTTTTAGATTGTGTGCTGTTAATGTTGTACTTTTATCTTGAGATTTGGGGCCAATTAAGTAACTATAGAGATTATGTTGTTCAACAGTAATATATACTAGTCTGCTCATTTACACTTGATGTTACCTGTGACCTGTGGCTTACTTGGAGGTCTTTTCAGTCTATATAGTGTATAGTATTTTAAGATCTACAGACAGAGTTTTTTTATTGTTGAAGACATTCTTTAACTTAACC